ATTTTCATCCCATTCTGCCAAAAACTATAGCAGCTGAAGATATTTCAATACTTTTCCATTACAGTCTTTGGATTGATTGATTGATTGACTGATTGATTGATTTTAAATAGAAGTTTCAAAGCAGCTCCAACTACTTTACCCTCACATTACAAGCTGACATGTATCTATGCCCTTTTCAAATTTCAGATCCTTGTTTTAAACTGAATCTAGGTGGATTCATACAGATCTAGTCAAGGTGGGTCTTCCAGAGAACAGCATTAACCCCGCTCTCCATCTGAATGCAAATCACCATTCTGTTCCATCTTCTATAGGGGTGGCTGGGAAGACGCTTAAGTCAATGTTATGTAAAGAGTGGTCAGAAAAGGACAGAGCTTTGGAAGAAGAATCGGAATTTCTTGTTGAACTATCCTTTGGAAAAAGCAGACTAGGATACTATTAGGACAAGCTTCAGAAATTTCTCTTTTTGGAACTTATGGCTCATGTTGGGCTAGGCCCCACATTATTATTATTCCTCTGGTGCTCCTGCCACCCACCTTTGGCTCCCTGCATCTGTAGGGTTACAAGAAATCAGCTGGAGTGTCAATTGCAATGGCAGGATAAATGGGTGTCTGGCATTTCTTGCGTTTCCTCTGCAAAGCCACTTGCGAAAGTCTTCTCCAGCTTGGCAGGTCTTCCAAGTCTAACCCAGGGTGCTTTTCCTAATGGGCCACCTGCCTTCCGTAACTGATGTTTTCATCTCATTTTGCCAAAAATAAAGCATTTTCAGATGTTTTGAAGTTTCTCTTTTAGAGCCTACAGACACAAATCTTTTTTCCGAATCAAATCTTGTAGTAGCATGAATTGAATTAGTTTGCTGCTGAATCCTGAATCACAAACTCAAATCAAATCATGCTCTCTTTGAATCTTAAATCTCCATCAGGGTAAATTTGTACATGCCTACTAGCTGTTCTTTTTTTATATGCAAAATGTTTTTTTTTCTTCTAACTTAATTATGGTTTGATGGTTTGTTTTACTGGAATCTTAAAATACCACCCCATTACATACTGTAGAAATGTTGTTTTTCAGTTTTTTTGGTTTTTATTTTAATGAATTTTATCTTAATTGACTTTTGTATTCCAGCACTAACTTCTCCCATACTAAATATCCTCCATTAATTAGTACTGACGTTTTGCTGTGAATTAATTTTGTGCAGAATTCCCCATAAAAAAGATAAACTTACAGTTTACAGATCATTTCATCTCACATTATTTATATAGGAGGAATAGAAATCACAGTGTACTTTAAGTTTAAACAAGACTTTCTTTAGGAATGGAAGGTGGTAAGAGTCACTGCTCCCTAACTCTCAGAATAGGAGATCCTGAGAATGCCCACAGGAAGTTGGGAGTCTTGGTCCCTCCGAGGGCAAGGTACAAGAGGGAGGGAATCTTGGTTATACAAGTACTCAGTGTACTGTCCCTGAATACAGCAAGTCCCAGGAGCAACACCTTTCCCTAAGGCCTACTTTGTACTCCCAAGCCATCTTGGAATCAAGCCTAGATCTGTGGGGTTTTAAATCTTTGGAGAGCCACTAGCTTTGTGCAGAGCAGGGGAGGGAAAAAGAGAAGGAAGGATGTCGCCTATGAAAAGCCTTGCTACCTTTCTAGGAGTGTATCTCCACTTATGCTAAAATTTACTCCTATACACCAAAAATGCAAATATTTTTTCAGGGCTTCTAACTGAAAAGGGGTGGGGTTGGGCTTCTGAACGTGGTCCTCTTCTCTCCTTACAAAAGTCTGAAGCATTTTGAAGCTTTGCAATGTCACCCTACCCAGCATGGTTGGTCCCACTGAGCCTGAAAGTTGAAACTCCACTAAAGCGAGGCTCTATCATTTGTCTGCCTGCCTGCCTGCTTGTCCAGGCTTAGTATTAAGGAGATTTGGAAAACAATCATATTGTGACATATTAAGACTTACTTGCCTGAGTAGCACTTATTCCCAAAAAAGTCTGTACAAGACTATTGCATGGGGTGGAACCCTGATGACATTTGCTTAATTAACAACAACAAAACTATTCCCATCACAAGATCATTTTTTTAATGAAGTGGGGAAAGATGTATGTTTTTGGACAAAAGTATGAGGAAATAGCTTGTGGTGCATTCTGATTGTTGTGATTTTGTGATTTTCCTCAGGGAAAAGCTCAAGATAATTGTGAACATCATATTTTATTATTATAATATTTTCTGATCTGCAGATCCCAATATCTTTTGCTGAATCTAACTGCTGTGACTCATGAGAGATGGCCTTGAAAACTGGTTTGGAGCAGGACAGGGAATCCTCTTGATCACAGAAAGAGAATGGATGCCCAAAGTCAAATAGGTGAGGAACCAGAAAGAAGAGCCTCTCACCTTGTGTAGACTGAAAAAAAGGAGAGTCGTGAGAGAGAACCAAGCAGAAGACTTGATGAGGAGAAAGCAGTACTGGCAGTTCTAACATTTTTATTACTAGGAAACCAAAGGGCCTCAAGAACTTTGCAGCAGACCTCATTCTGGTTGCCAGCAGCAGCTGAAGCTGGGAAGGCATACAAAAACTCAGACCTTAGATCTGATGATGCTGGAGCAGTTCCTGACTGTCCTTCCCCAGAGATGAAGAATGGGTGAGGAAATATGGGGCAGGGACCAGAAAGCAGAAGATCTCCTCTTAAGCCAGGCAGAGGAAAAGAAGCTGGAAGAATAGCTCACCTATTTGACTTTGGGCATCCATTCTCATAAAAATTCTTATTGTCTTCAGAAGCTTTGTACCCGCTTCAACCCAAAGAGATTTTGTTATCTTGGTAGGAAGATCGTAATTCTGATTTTATTATGGCAGGGTCTGTATTATGAAGCAAATAGGCTTTCAGGTTGAAGTGGGCCTCTTCCTTATTACAGCCTTGGAGAAATGAAAACAATTTTACCCTGGCATTTCAGTGCTTAACATCCTTTCTGCTGATGATGTTCTGTGTTGTTTTATCTAATTATATTTTTGTAAACCTCTCAGGGACATTAAGATTGGATAGTGTATACAGTACATTTGCTGAAACAAACAAACAAACAAATCAATCAAATAGCAAGTACTCCAGCACAGTTCTAAAAAAATACTGTTGGCTTTTAAAATGCCTGAGAAAACAAATAGTTCTTCAAATCGAAGCTGGTATTGAAACATTCTCAATGGAAGTACCAAGTGAATGTCTGTGGGGAGGGCATTTGATAGGTGGAGTCCCATCACCTTCATTGGGTGAAGAGTTTTAGAATATTTAGGATTGAAGTAAGTAAATACAGGTAATCCTCATTTAGCTACCACAACTGGGACAGGCAACTCTGTCGCTAAACGCCATGGTTGCTAGGTTGAGGTCATGTAACCTCAACAGGCTTATGACCTCACTTCCCCTGTGGTTGTTAAGCAAATCACCATGGTTGTTAAGCAAAACATCATTGTCATAACTTTGAACAGTTATTAAATGAGGCAGTTGGTAAGCGAGGACTACCTGTATGGGAGGAATCTCTACTTAAAGGAACTTGCCCCAGCTTTTGTGAACTTTATAAATTGCTACCAGCACTTTGAATCAGCACTCTCCCCAAATGTGATCTTTATCCACCTTATTGAGGAAACCTTAAGTTTTATTCTAGCTCCATTGGTTGATGCAGGAATATGCAGGGTTAACTAACAAAGAAGGGGTGGATCTATTCCTTTGCTTGAGCCTGTCTTACTGTTCCTTACTTAAGAACTGGAATGTTATTTCAGATGTAGGACCCCTTCACGGCGGGACTGACTGTGTCTTGGTTCATTTTAACATTTTTACAGCACCATACCTCACAAAGACTCTTTCACCCAAATCATTTATATTTGTATCACCTCAAAAGCCACTCCTTATGAGGATTTCGAGTAGGAGATTCACATTCGGGAGACATCACGGGGCAAGAGAAATTTCCCTGTGGCCTCAAAATCTGTGTGCGGTCACGTTGATAGGCAAACTTCCAACGCTGTGGGTTGACTCTGGTGTTGCACGTAGTCTGTAGGCTGGAAGCTCCCTTGCATTCCACCCACCCCACACACTTTAAATTTAAACAATTTGTGACCAAGTTTGTGACACCACCGCAGAACACTGGGCCAGGCAACCCAAGGGGATGCCTCTGGCTGAAAATGATCCTTATTTGGAAAACGCTAAGCTGTGTGTCAGGGCCAGAAAAAGCCTCAGAAAACCATAATGGCTAAAAATACATCTGTTCTACTGGCATTGGAAAACGATGTGCAGAAAAATAAATGGATTTTACAGCCAGTAGCAAATCTGAAAAGGTGTTGTCTAGAGCAGTAACCCTGAAGAATCTTGAACCTCGTGCAACACCATTTGGGTCACTCTGTATTTCTGGCTGCATGGGAGGGAGTCCTCAAATCAGCCGGTCACTTCATGCTGAGGCCTCCCTTTGACAGGTGAAACGTAAACCAATGTGAGTTAAAAACTAACTTGGTGTTTGCATAAAGATTGGCATTTTGCCCAGATCAGTCAGTGTCATTCTATGCACTGTTTGTCTCCTGTGTCTACTACATTTTTTCTCATGACGATGATGATGATTATTGGATTTTTATCCCTCCTTTTTATATATATAAAACTCAAGATGGCGAGCATACCTAATACTCCTTCCTCCTCCTATTTTCCCTGCAACAACCACCCTGCGAGGTGGGTTGGGCTGAGACAGAGGGACAGGCCCAAAGTCCCCCAGCCGGCTTTCCTGCCTCAGGCGAGCCCAGAACTCACCGTCTCCTGCTTTCTAGGCCAGCACTTTCACCACTGCCCAGACTGGCTCTCGTGTGTCACCGACTCCCATATGAAGGCAAGGCAGCAGAGCTGGAAAAGCGGCCTTTGCCCTCGGTAGCGTTTCTCCTGCAGGGAGGGCTGCCAAAGTGCAAATGTGGAATTCTGGTCAAAGAGGAATCTCAGGTTAAGCAGTCCTGGCCTTTGTGTCCTCTAAGGACAGTAACACAGGCCTAAGGGAAAGGGTTATGTTTGGGCTGGAGCGCCACACCTTCAAAAACAGCCAATCTAAGATGCTCAGTTGAGGGCAATTTGATATAACTCGGCAAAGCAGTTGAGGAGATGAACTATTTCACCCCCAAGCCATTAGCAGCAAACACTGACTTTGATTTGAGGCATTCCTCTTCATCATTTCAGCAAAACAGACAGCAATAACTAGATACAAAACTGGCTACAAGTCACCAGACTGTACGTGGTTCTTGTGATTTGCAAGGCGCCTGCGTTTGCTGGGAGGCTGCAAAAGTTGGACAGCATGGCGTTCTTTTTAGCCAATTCCAACCAGTGCATTAACGTCGAGAAAGAAAAGCGCAGCAGGTAAGCCTTTCACACCTGACCCTAAACAACTGGGCCTAGAAGCATCTGCCGCGGATGTTCATGCAGCGTTGGTGCAAACAGGGATCAGTGAAAATTCCATTTGCTTCATTTAAGAACTTAAAAAATCATTTTTTCATAAATTACTGTAGATGGAAAGGCAAAAAAAAAAATCAGAAGTGTGGAAAAGCAGAACTGATAGATTTATTTATGTGGGCAGAGGACTTTGCAAGCCTCGCTCTAGAGAAGTTTAACTCTTGTGTATTCACAAGGATTTGAGATGTGAATAGATTTTTTTTTCTGAGAAGCTGTTCCTCTTCAATAACTACGTAGCAGGTGCACGGTAGGTCCTGTAAGGGGTCTGGTTTCATTGGTTCATTTCATCCTGTAATGAGTGTCATTTCATTGGTTCATTTCATAAAACTGTCTAGGATTTGCACATTGCTTTACAATTAGAAGAGAGAGAACTCGAAATTTAAATTTTTTGAATGTGGGAGAAAGCAAAACTGACAGATTCCTTCTTTCCTATCAGCACAGCACCACGTTTCCCTGAATTGCTCTGATCTCTCTGTAGCTATAATCCAGCCTACGCTACTGCATACAAGTGGTCTGGACTGCTACCAATTTTTTCAGAGGTCCTAATGTATTAATTTTCTTTTAATAGCTAAACAGGGGCCCACATTCTTATGAAGTAAGTTTCTTTCCATTTGCAAGTATAATTGGAAGGAGGATGCAATCAGAAACGCTTGAGTCTTTTGAATATCATTTTAATTTATATGTAGAGCAAAATTTAACCTTTAATCAAGAGGACAGGGGAAAATATTGCAATAATTATAAGAGAGGTATCCAAAGAGGAGATTGTTTCTAATAATGAAAATATATCACTGTGTATCCATATTCTCATTTTAACAAGGAATACAATCGTTGAACGCAATTCATGAAGATGGAATGATCTATTGACTGATTTACTATCCCAGATTGAAACTATTGAATCTAAATGAAATTTTAATTTGAACTGCCCCTGGGAAAAGGTTGTAGTGCTGGAAAGAGTAAGTCAAACAATTTATAACCATAGACTACCCAATTGCTTGTAGAGTACTGATGTTCAATGGGTATGATTCAAAATGTATTTGTACAAAATTCACATTGGTTTGGGGATTTATTAAAACACGTTTTGTAAGCCACTTACTAAAAGGATCCACTCCAAATAATAATTTGATATTTATCATATTTATAACTCATTCTTCTACGGTGATACATTTGAATATACAACCCAATAATTCCTTATACATTTTATATTTTCTACATTTTGTGTTTCCCTAGATATTTACAGTCCCAGCAGGTGGCAGTCTCTAGCTGAACTTAGGTGGTCTCAAAAAAATTAAGATTTGGACTTAATAATACTTGGATAGGAGATCACCATGAAATCTCACATCTGTAGGCTAGACTGGGAAGTTTAAAAAACATCCCAGATGAAGTGGTAGCAAACTTTTTCCAAATTGTTATCAAGAAAACTACATGGAGATGTCCACATAGTCACTAGGAGCTGTGCTCAACTCAAGGCGTCTTTACCAATATGGTTACAAGAACTGCTCATAGAATTTGAAATGTAGCCGTGCCAAAAAGTTTTGAACCTCTTTCTAATTATCCTTAGCATATAATTAACCTTTTGTCACAGCTACCACACGCTGCATTAACATTTTCACTGAAAATGCTTAAAATCATGCTTAAAATTCCTTTTCTGATCACTAGCCCAACTCCAATTATTGCACATGCAAGTTTGTGCCCTATGAGTATCAATATTTACTTACACTGATTTTTATTTACTAACAAACTTACCATGTCATTACCAATTTTTCTGGTTTGGAGAGTCCTTTTGAATCCCATTTTTTTAAATCACTCTCAATTATTTGTTATTATCAGCAGACTTGACCCCTATCTCAGGTTGCTCATAAATGAGGTGAAAAGGTATAGATTCCCAAACAGATCCTTGGAATTCTACTTTTCGTAGTTTCTCCATTGTCAAAAGTACCTATTTAGGCTTACACTCTATGTTTCATTTAATGAGTAACTAAACTATATGAACATTTAGCTCAATTACTATTGTACTTCCATATCCATTATATCTGTCCAAGAAGATCTTTATGCTGGCTTTCTTTATGCATACTTATTTTTGTTTTTAAAGCTGAATGTGATCCAAATACAACTAAGGCTAATAACATAATCCACGTTTTCTCTATTTTACTAAAAAACATTATGTGAAAACCTTGATTGACCAAAGCCATATTGGATGGATGAGGTCAATATCTATGGGCCAATTTGGTGATAGCCATACCATATGGAAGACTGCAGACCACATAAGAGAAGTAATGGTAAAGAACATTAACTTAGAAAAAAATGAAAGAAAAATAGACATGTTGTATGTCTGTGAAATTGAGAGAAAGTAGAACAATGTAATAGATCTGAATGAAGATGATCTGATCTTGTGGAGGGAAGTGGAAAAATACAGTATATGCAGGGAAGTTAAGCTATAGGTTTAACTCTGAATGAAAAGACTAAAATGTATGTCAGAAAGTATAAATGGGTATCATCTAAATTGTTGTGGTAGATATGAAAGTAAAAATCCATAGATTGGTAATAGTTATATATTATGCTCCTGTGAATAGTGATAGTGAAAGAACCAGTGATGAGTTTGGGGAAAAACTGCAAAATTCTGAATGAATTCAATCCAGGGGGACAATTATTCTGCTAGATGACATGAATGCATGGATGGGAATGGGGCAGAGAGTAAAAAAAAAGTGAACTGACTATTCAGAGACCCAAGAGTGAATGAGGTTGATGACAGTTTGGTGAATATCTACTTAGAAAAAGTATGTTTTGAGCATGTAGTTTATGCATAAACTTAATCATATTTATGCATGACAGAGGAATACATATAAATGTAAAATCTTGGTTAATGATGATGAAAGATTGAGGCAGTTAGCAACACACCTTCCTTGCTTTCAGAATCAAAGTAAAAGGGTAGTATACTTTACTACTTGCATTAAAACAATAGTCATACAATTCTACAGCTACAAGAATAACTTTGTACAAGAGCAAATATTGAACTCAGGGTCCTGGGACCTCAGTGTCCAAAGGCTTGTTCAGTGTCTCACTCACCCATCCTAACAGTTTCTGTAAAGGGGTGAAGCACCTTCCACAAGATAGTATATAAGTTTAGTATATACAGTACATAACACAGTTCAAGTCTTCCCTGGCAAGGATGCTCAGCCACAGCTGGCCTTGAAACAAATGTCACATCTGGTGGGTTTGCACTCTCTTGGTCCTGATCCAAATCCAGGCTGGCTGCTCGTAACCTCTTTGGCTCTCCCAGTCCTTATGTGCTCTCCCAGCCATCACATCCGGGGCTCTCCTTGCTCTCTCAGTCCAGCTGACACACTGGGCACGCCTTTCCCAGGGGGAACTTCTTGGCTGACCCGCCTCCCTTGAATCCAAAGTGCTAGCAGGCATGTCAGCTGGGCACACAGTGTGAGGATAAAACCCTCATTTATTTTTTATTTATTTATGAAATTCATTTGACCTTCTGAAACTGGCTGGGTTCTGGGCAGCTTACAAAATCAGTTTTGTTTGTTTCTCTCCCTCTTCCAGGTTGACCTTCCTTCTTCCCTCAAAAAAGATCCTTCTTCTTTCCTTGCAGGCTCCATTCTGTTGGTTAACAAACCCTTATCACATTCTCAGATCAACCATATTCCCCCCTATTTACCCTTACATCCTCTTTTTTCTTTCTTAAATTCTGCTAATTACAAACTCTGGGTGTCCATATTCCTAGCATCCATGTTACTTCCTTAATTCAGTTTGCATCAGTTTCACGTTTCCCCAGTTTTACTGCAACCTCTGGGTTACACATAAAGAGAAAAAAGCTACAGCAAGTACAGGTAGTCCTTGACTTACATCCATTCATTCAGCGACCATTCAAAGTTATGGTGGTGCTGAAAAAATGGACTTATGACTGGTCCTCAAAGTTCTGGCTGTTGTACCAGTCCCACAGTCATGTGATCACAATCCAGGTGCTCGGGTGCCCAGCTTGCGATTATGTCACAGTGAGCCACAGTCATGTGATTGCCATTTGTGACCTTCTCTGCTGGCTTCCCACAAGCAAAGTCAATGGGGAAGCTGGCAGGGAAGGTTACAAGTCACTCCAGTAAGTCACTCCCATCACTTTTTCTCCTGAGGAGTCCATAATGGAGTATGAGATCCCAGGAATCTTGTACTCTGTAGCACCCCCACCTACCCACCTGCTCTCGATAGTGTGCACCCACCTGCAGCAGCCCCCTGCCTGTGCACAGCCTCCCCTGACCCTCCCCAGGCCCTCCTTAGGCCTGCCCCAATCCACATGCAGCCTCCACTGACCCACCCATACTCCGTAGAGCCTGCCTATGGCACCCCTACCCCCCTCAGCACCCCTCTGCTCCTTGCCTGGGACTGCTACCTCTTCCCACTTAATGAGCCATGCGGTCCAGGGGTTATGACAGCAACCAGGACTGCAGGGATTGCCATTGCTAAGCGATGTGGTCACATGATGTCATGTTTTACGACTGCATTGCTTAGCGATGACAATCTGATCCCAATTGCTGTCATAACCTGAGGACTACCTGTAGATGTCTTTGGGTAGAATGTTTACTAAATGTGGGGAAATGGATGGAGAAATTTTAAAATGTTGTAGAAAGATAGATGGTAGCATGCAGTGCATTGTAAGGAATGAATGTTTATTGAAAGGAGTGGAAATGACTGTATATAAGAGCATGCTTCATTGTGTACTCTATCATATGGAAATGAAAGTTGACTATCTCAGGAGAAACACAGAAGTAAGTTGAGTGCTATGGGAAAGGTATGTATGAAAGAAGTAAGTATGGTAAAATGAGAGAGAGGGTCAAGTGCTGAATAAATGTTCATTGAATACAAAATGAGTGAGCAATCGGAAAGAAGTACATTGAAGTGACTGGGTGATATAAGGGAATGAATGAGAACTGAACTGCAAATCAAATATTTGAAGGAAGAATTAATGGATTGAAAGGAAGGTGAAGACCATGAAAGTTGTTCTTGAATAGAACTGATAAGCTTCTGAAAAAGAGAGATTAGAAGTTTAAAAAACAAAAGGCAATGGGTCCAGGTTACCTGAGGGACTGTCTCACCACCATCACTTCAACCCATCCCACCCGGTCAGGCAGAGAGGGCATGTTGCGGGTCTCATCAGCGAGAGAACGTTGACTGGTGGGACCCAGGAGGAGAGCCTTCTGTGCCGTTGCTCCCGCCCTTTGGAACATTCTCCCCCTAGAGGTGCGGCAGGCCCCGACCCTCCTGGCCTTCCGGAAAGAATTAAAGACCTGGCTCTGCCAGCTTGCGTGGGGGGATAACAACTTTACCCAATCTTGGGGTGGCTGGCACCTTGATGACGCTCCCCAAGTGACTGCCAATTTCATCTATTCTTAGATCTATTTATTTTCTATTTATTTAAGATTATTGTATATTGTAATTTGAATCGATTTTAACCATTTTGTAAACTGCCCAGAGCTGTTTCAACGAGATGGGCAATGACAAATTTTATATGTATGTATGTATGTATGTATGTATGTATGTATGAAGTGGTATATGGATGCAGGAGAAGCAAGGATGGTTTGCAAGGATAGAAAGCTACAGAGAGGCATAGTGAATAGTGTTGACATAAACCAGTTTTAGTTATGGTTTCTTTTTCTTACAGTACTTCATATCTTTCTTATTTTATTTTATTTTATTTTATTTTATTTTGGCTTACTGTTCCTTTCTCCTTTTTGCACTCTGCATAATGTTGCTTACCCTAAAGGAGAACAGTATAATGGGTAGGTACATATGCAGCCCAAGTCACTTGTCTCCTATGCCATTCCTGGCTGTTTCTGAAACTACCTTAACAATTCCAGTCAAGATTGGTTGCCAGTGGTTGCCAATGGGGATGGGTTGGTGCTATAGCTACCACTGGCCCTGATTTATCATTCCCCTGCTTCTTACCCTTCCC